CTTTGGTTGTAAGTTAAAACTGAAATTCCAGTCGTAACCCAAGTTGATCATCTGTCAGGCTGGTTGTAACTCGAGGGTCCACTGTACATGGTTTTCCATGTACAACATTCCCATCTCTTCTTTCATTTCTTCTTTTCCTTTCAGATAAGCCCCGCCGCAGACCTGTTCTTCTGGTTTTGTGGGGGCTCTGGGGGTGCTTCCACCCTTTCTTCGCCTTTCCCTTAAGAAGCAGGTGTGGTTCCCGGAGTCCCGGCTGGGGCTCCCCATTTCCCTCTGTGAGTCTAACAGTTCACTGTCCCCTGGCGAGCAGCCGGGCAGTGGTTTCCACCCCACTGCCCAAGTCCCAGCTGAGCAGACAGAAACGCCGGGGGTGTCTGCTTGTGGGCAACTTCACGGTGCTCAGCCTAAACTTAAAATTTAATCTTTCTCAAATGCTATTTCCCTTTGAGGCTCCTATTTCAGGATAATTCATATCTTTCCTTAATTTTTTGAAATTGCCTTTCCTACGTTTTATATTTAAATATATCCAGCAGGCAGGCAGCTCCGCGTGTATTATAAAGCTCCAAGTGACACGGTCATTTCCCTGAACAGTCCCATTAGGGCTCTATCAGTGGCTCATTCTTTTCATTGCTTTCTCGACCCCACGAGAGATGAAAATGCCGTAGTATTTTGTACAAATTTGCATGTAATGCTTCCCAGATTTTATCTCTGTAACTTTTTCCACTCATCTCTCTCCTACCACCTGTCTGTCAATGCTTCAAAAACTCATCACAATACTTATCTTCTTTTATTGTTGTTGCTTTTTTGAGAGAGTCTTGCTATGTAGCCCAGGCTGGCCTGGAACTCGCCAAGATCCTCCTGCCTCAGCCTCCTGGGTGCTGGGATTGCAGGCATGGGTCACCACGCATGCCATCCTTATCTTCCTGTCCCCAGCACACAGCCAGTTTCTAGATGGAGAGGGATGTGCAGCGAGCCATGCTGACTGGAGGGAAACAGTGAAGGAATGCAGTCAGAGAGAAACAGGGGAAGGACCGGTGAAATTCCAGCAGAAGCTCTAGGAGCTAAAAATGCATCCTCACTTTGCCTTTGTAGCAATTTTATAATTTGGGTAGAAAAGCACCCTCTCGACTGCTTCCACGATTCAGTTCTTCCTTCTTGGGATTACCGGCATTGGCTTCCACTCTGGTTTTTGCTTTGGCTGCCTTGGGGTGTTAGGACTTGAACCCAGCACTCTGTGCGCCACTGCTCTGTTGTTTTCCAGATGCCCCTCTCAGCCCACATCTGCAGAAGCGGACCTGCAAGTTGCCCTTCTGCCGGAACTCCCCATCCAGAGAAAGGATGGCACCAGCGTGGCTGCCTGGGCTTTGCTTTGAAGACGACGTCCCAGGCTGAGCACTGGGGGACCTGAGGATCCCTGCCCATCAGCAGCCGAGCTGGGGCCATGTCCCTCACCTGGCACAGAGTGGTGCACGGGACTCCCCCACCCCCCCACCTGTCCTCACCGAGGCTGCACACTGGGGCCCCGGGGGCTTGGGCTCCCAAAGGTCCTGCTGTCAGTCTGGAGGTGCCCTTCTTGGCCGGGGACAGACAGCACCGGCTCCTGCATCAGTAATGGGAGTCTCTGGGTCTCACCTGAGGATCAAGAGCTTTAGGCTGTGGGGTTTGTCCTGAGGGCAGCAAACACATGCCAGTGAGCCTGCCCTCCAGGCGGGAAGACCTGGGTGGAGGGGACCCTGCTCCTGGGCAGAGGCGTCTCCTCAGGGCCGCGCTGTGTCACTGAAGAGCTGTTGCCCACAGCCACACGTGGTTTGTTCTCTGGCAAAACTGTCCTTTCCCATCCCGTACTGCTGGACCGAGAGCAGCAGGTCACTGGCACTTCCCCATGCGACTGCCTGCGACTGTGAACTCAAAAGTGGAACTATGCATCAGGCATTCCCTCTACACCGGAGCCTGCAGGTGACTTGCCGGCATGAAGCAGGACGGCAGGACAGAAGGAGCAGCGAGTGCGGCCTCAGGATCTGGTTCGGGGCAGAACTGCAAATTCTCAATTAAGCACTTAGTGTGTGCTGTGAGTGCTTCAGCCCCGTGAGGCCTCCCTGTGTTGTCCTTGTGTGGTGGACAAGGAACCGGGTCACAGAGCGGGTGAGACACAGCCAGAGAGTGGCAGAGCCAAGATGGAATGCAGTCATCTGGCTCCAAAACCGACCTTTGCCAGTATGCTAAGCTCCCTCCCACGTGGGGTCTTAGTAAATTCCTTAGCCTCTCCCGGTCCTGGCTTTCAAGTATGCAAAACAGTGTAAAATAATGAGGCTGAGCCCCTGGGTGGATGCACACTCTGCATGACGCATTTTAGGCGTTTGATAAATATTGGTATATGCGAGCGCACTTTGTGAGCTACACAATGCAAGAATAAGCTGAATCCTATTATGATATCCGTGACAATGCAGACTTGAGGCACAGATTTATGGACAAGAGTTAATATACAAAATCAAAATACAACTTCTCACTACTCATAAAGGATAAAGTGCTTAAAAATATGCATGAGTTTAATAATCTTACCAGTGATAAGAAGATAAGTGTAGAAATGAAGTTACTGGAAGTTTTCCTTTTATTTCTGAGTCATTGAAGAAGCATTCTATAATCTACAAGCTTTATCTTTGTTATTGCCAGGAAATTAGGCCAGTAAAAAAGATAGCATTGGATCAAATCCAGCCGATCTCTCCAAAGACAAAATGGCCAGTGACACACGAAAAATTTATTTTCAATTTTTTTAATGAAGTGCTGGTTATTATTGAAGCAAAGCTCCCAGATCAACTCCACAGGGGAAGAAGAGGCAGGGTGATTTTGAAATTTGGCACTCAGTGCTAGATTCAGAATGTCAGAAATTTGCCTGGGCTGAAAATAGCCATGATTAGCTATTGGCTTTACGAAGAGGGATGAATTCTATACTGGAAACGCCATTAAAGATTTGGGGGCCAACATCTGAGGAGAAAGAAGCTGCAGTCCATGGTGCGCTCTTCTTTCCTTCCGTTTTTAAATTGTTCTTTATTTCAAGAGCAATGTTTCCAGATTTTCAGAGGTATTAGGACGTGCTTCTATGCCTTTCTTGCTCTAGCAGTTTGGGGCTGCCCAGTGCCCCTGGATACCTGCACGCTGCCCTGGAAAGTGGCATCCTGTGACAGTCTGCCTGTTTCGGTCAGAGGATCTGACTCTGGGTCAGGCCTGCGTGTGTCAGCTACTGCCTCTCAACACCACGCTCCCGCAGTTAGGGTTCCTGCAGGGTTCCCTTCCACCCCTGGCGCTGCACGCACAGCATTTGCCGAATCAACAACGCAGCCCCCAGCCACAAACCTTGGAAATTAGACATTTGGGTACTCTGGTGTTAGAAATAATTAAACTTTCTATGCTAATGGTGTTTCTAAAATCTGTGATCCTAAAACATCTTAAGTTTTGATCATTAATCTAAGAATGAGTGAGGGTAGTAATGTATAATCATAAACAACAAATACCCAACTTCCTAAAGGAGCATATGATTTCTTAAAAGTTACTTATCTTACCTTTGTTTTTATTTGTTAAGCTTAGAATTACTTTTGCCTAATTGGAGCCCTAAACCTACATATTACTCCTCTCTCTCCTCTCTCTCCTCTCCCCCCCCCCAGTGCTGAGAACTGAACCTAGAGCCTCACATAGGCTACGCAAGAATTCCACACCCAAGCCAGTTTTTTTTCTTTTGAGGCAGGGTTTCACTAAGTTGCTTGGGTTAGCCTTGAACTCAGCCTCCTGAGTGCTGGGATTGCAGGCATGCACCTCCACGCACAGCTGCATACTATTTTTTGACACTTAGGACACTGTCACAGCGATGAGATAAATACAGTGACACTCCACATTAAGGTCATGGTCTCGGGCTGGAGGGGCAGCATTTGCAGTGCTGCAGGAATCAATGTGGCTTAATGAGAGAGATTAAGAGGTATAGAAAGCTAAGACTCTAGCTGAGGCAAGAAAATGAGAAAACAGTGATCTATCACTAAGCAGGAAAGGAAATAAAGGAGAAAGGGATTTGGGGACAAAAGAATGAAGTCGCTCAGGGGCGTCTTCCACATGACTGCCGGTGACACATGCAGGTGACATGGCCGAGGTCTGCCGCACACCTGTGAGGTGCTGAGGAATTTGGCAGAGGGGCCTGGCCAGGTGTGCCTATAGCTGATAAGAAGGATACCCGGGGAAGAGGTCTAGAGAGAATGGGGAGAGGTCTGAAAGAGATTACTGTGGAGGAGAAAGGCAGAGGGATGCTCGGGAAGGAAGAAGAAAAATTGTGGATGTGTGGTGTCATTTAAATCAAGAAGTTCCAGTAAGCAAGGACCAGACAGACAGTCACCACTAGATCGGAGGGTTCGGAACGAAGCACCTTGGCAGGATGGCGAGGCGGCAAAGTCATGGTTCAGAGAGTGCTGCAGAGCAGAGAAGCTCCTTAGAGCCGCTAAGGAAGCCGTGCCCTAAGGGTCCGGTTCGGGGACTGACGCTTGCAGCTCTCCCCTTCTGTCTTTCTAGTTCCTCATGTGTGAAGGTGACAGCTGAGCCTTCCTCTTCACAGGACACAGCTGAACAGCCCTAGGTTCTTGGTTTTCTTGCTAAATTTCTACTTACTGCTTGCTCTGGCTTAGAGGATAATTGTGTTTAGAGTTAAAAGGGTTCCTCCTGCTGTGAAGCTTTCCTGCAGGAGGGAAGGGAGTTAAGTAAATGCTGTAAGACTAAGAACTCGATCTTTTATTCCCTTAGTTGCCCATCCTTCTGGCTGTTAATCAGACTTCAGCCCAGGGCTCTACACAGAAGGAACTAAGTTAATAGCTGTTGGATGGATCATATAGATACGGAGCCCATGGAGAAGTTTATTGCTTTTACCAAGTGGACATGTCAATTAGTCTTCGAGAACAAGACAAGCTGGGAGTGATGATGAGACTACCAGACCCGAGAGGAGGCAGGACAAGGCTGGGTCACCTTACCTGGCCTTCAGTAGTATTCCGAGGCTTTCCACACCAGGCCCTGCGGTAACCGTCAAATGAGATCGCTTTGGTTGGTCTGAAAATACAATAGAAAGCAGACAATGGGTGGTGTGCAACTTGCCCTTCAAAAGCGTTTATCTGAGCAGACTGCTTGGGTGGCATCTCATCATCAGACAGACTGGCTTGCGATTCTGACACACGTCTTGCAGACACATTCTCTGCACCACTGTCGGCACAAATCTCAGAAAAGAAAACATGTCCAAAGCACTGTTCAGTGATAATGGTAAAGGTGTTTCCATGTGTATATTATGAAAATATAAAGGTTTGAGGCATCTGCCTTTCATGAACACTAAAAATGAACTTTAAGCAAAGCATTCTATCTGTAAATTCTCATTCTATAATAAAAATTTTCTTGAGCTTTATGTCAAATTTTAGTAAAATTACCTTCTTTCCTATTATGAAGAGAGAATAAAAGTATCAGAATTGAGATTAGTTTAATTATTACACAGAATCTGACTACTTTTTGTAGAAGGAAAAAAATGACTCTTTTCTACCACTCCTGGCTGTAGTTTTTCTTCCCTTTGCTAATATTACTATGTTCTAGAGCCAGGAGTGGTGACAGACGCCTGTAATCCCAGCACTCGGGAGGCTGAGGCAGGAGGATCACCATGAGTTCAAGCCCCCCCTCCCCCGGAACCCCATAGTGAGAACCTCTCTCAAACAAAATTTACTGTATCCTAATAGGAGAACAAAGATTATTCTAAAGTATTCAATGGGAACTATAAAACAGTCTCCTAACAGCTTTCACTAAAGCTTCTTAAAGAGACATTCTCAACACTGTCTAAACAAAACATTACCTAGCGTACTTTTCAGATGTGAAAAATCACCAATTAACTGCCTTAAATAGATACTCAGACATCCAATGTCAAACACCTTAAGTCTGTCTTCTAATTTAAGTTTCTAGCTCTTGAGGTAGCATCTTTGAGTTAGAACAAGTCTATCAGCATTAACGTTTATAGGTAAACTGTAGGCATCTTAAGGTAAATACTTGACTCAATTTTGCAAGTAAGAGGGCCATATCTAAATGTGTTAATGCAGTCACTTATTTAAATAACAACTATAGGCACCTAATTTTAAGAGTAACAGTTTTCAAATATGTTAGTGCTCTTCCAATCACACTTAAGTAGAAGTCTGAAACTTACTGAAGATAAATTAATCATTACTATTACTACTTCATGAGCTGCAAGCTACTAAATGATACGCTAAGCTAACCAAGCTTTGGGGCAAAATGCTTCAGCCTTCGGCAGGGAGGCAGCAAATGAAAGGCTGCATTCTATCTCCTGCACGAACAAGCTTGTGATCAATCTGCTGTCACAGGTCATTTAACAGACAACAATGACCCAGGAGGAAGGAAACTGTCAACACACTGTCTCGTGAAAAAATATACCATCTTCGGGCACAATCGTCCCCATTGTTTTTTGTCTGTTTGAGGCTGACCTGTGACCCCTCCCTTCCCAAGGGTGTCCTGTTCAGTTTCAAACTGCTAGCCTTCAGGGCCTTTCTTCTCTTTCTTCCAGAATAATTAAAAATATTACCCCCAAAAGTATAACATTAGTTACTTTGAAGAGACGAAGCAGACTGTCTTAACATTTGAGAGTATATTAGCATTTTCAATTCTATAAAGGAAAGAGCTTCTTAAAATAAGGGAACAGTAACTATAGTTTACTATTATTCAGATAAACTACCAAGTTTAGGAGTATGTGTACAGCATAAAAATCCATGTGTTTATAGTTCCAGCCAATAATGGGAATTTATTGAATGGTATCACTGACATTATGAATATGAAAAAGTAGAAGGTGTAATTTTAAACTGAACGTCAAGGCTTATTACCCTGTTGGGAAAATAAGATGAATACTTGGAGGAGTGCACAGAGCAGCTTTCTACATTAACACAAAAAATGCTACCTGGTTCTACCTGGACACGTGGAGAACGTGACACATTAACAGATGTGTCTTTGGCAACAAGAAGGGAAGCTGGAGGCCCGAGACACGACTTGTCACTTGGGGTTTGGGTCTGGAAATAGGGGAGCAGACACCTTATGCTGGGGGTGGCGTTGGCCAGGGTCAGGCGGGAAGCGGGTTATCACAGACAGCTAAGTCAGGTCGACATGCAGCAGGCAGGCAGATGGGGCTGAGCCCTCAACTGCGGCCAGAGTCACATCAGCGGGGGCCGGGCCTCAAGATGAGGACAAGGACCAGGCCTGCATCCTCCCCCAGGGATGAGACAGGTGGCAGCACCTGGTCTGGTGGTCTAGATGGCACCGTCCGCCTCCGTGTGTGACCAGGACCCCAGACGTCACCTACCTGTGAAGTTCTTTGTTCTCTCCCTGTACTCTTGCTACAAGACTTGCTTCCCTCCTTGGATCACTGTTAACCTAAGCAACCATACTTGGGACCTTATTGGTCGATCACAGCTTTAACCCACGTTGTACCCATGTGGTTTTGCTCTATAAAACCTCCGTGTAATGGGGCTCCCTGGCTACCCACTCGGGACCCCTCCCGCCTCTCAGGAGCTATCCTATCAATAAATATCTTCCTGCTCTTAACTGCTACTGTTCCTAGAATTCATTCTTCTCTCTTAGAAAACATGAACTTGGCATCTCAAGCACCTAACAGGTTGGCAGATAGAGTTTCCATATTTCATCTCCTGCATCAGTATGTACATGGGTACAACCCAGGAGGAAAATGATGATCAGACCGTTTAGAGGAGTTGGGATTTGATAAAATAAGTGAAAGTCAGCAGGGCAGGATCTTCAAATTTAAGCGGATTCATATTCAACTTGGGGTTGATTCAATAATGTGATTCGTGGGGCAGTGGCCATCAGTAATTCTGGAAAAGGCAAGGAAATTACAAAATTAGCATCTGAGCAAGAGTTTTCCTGGGACGCAGTGTACGGAGGGTTACCTAAGGAGTCAGGGAATCAAATTCAGTCTTTCAGGCAGGAGAGAGCAGGGTTAGCAGAGCAGGAGCAAAGGAGAGGAGGTTAGGAGATGAACTGAAATAACGCAGAAGAAGCTGTGTGCCCGGGACCAACGGTGTGGAAGATGGAGGAATGCCAGCCTCCTCGATTATTCTCCTAAAGCCCAGAGAGCAGCTGTGCTATGAATAGAAACTGAAGTAAAATAGGAGTTTAATTTTAGCCTCAGGTGATGATAGGGCAGGCAGGTCACAATGACCTCTAGGCATGTGATTGAGAAACTGGGCACGGAAAAGAGATATTTGGGTCAAATCAACATAAAGATAGATGAGGCCGTTAGGGAAAACAAACTCCAAACGAGTTAGTGCTTAACAAAGAAATAAAGGAAACCAACTCTCAGCAAAAGGAGCCCAAGAAGTGAAGGGGAGAGAGAGGCTCATTAAGGAAGAGGGAAGTAAGTGAAGTGTGATTTCAGGGAAACAATGGCCCAGCCTGAACGGAAGCCTGGTAGTCAGTCCCCGACTGTGCCTGGCTGGAACTTGCTTGGCGTCAGCCTCGGGTCACAGGCTTGTGTCACACCCAGCTTCACTGCTGGTCTCGGTCCTCTGTCCCACAGCCCCCTTAATCTTGGGGATCCTGCAGCTCCCTGGGTCTAACCGCCACACCGCTGGCCATCCACAGATGTCCCCTCTGTGCTTGTTAAACTCGAATCCACCTAGCGAGGGGACCAGTGAAGTGTTCTGTGCATGAAGCTCTTCACAGGGGACACGGTTGCCTCCCCAGGAGCTGTCACTCTGTCCAATTCTGCAGCCACTGTGCCGGTGATGCCGCTGACCACCCTGGACCCCCAAAGGTGAATGGGCACAGATTCCGGGGACCAGACTGCGCCTTAGAGATCCAGTGATCCCTCGACTTACAAACTCAGTCCGTTCCCGAGGGCTGGTTGTAACTCAGGTTGGCCAGTGGAGGCTCAGTCTCCTCTACACAGCCTTCAGAGTCTCTCTCCTGTGCACAGGCAGATCTCAGGGTCCTCAGAGAGACACTGGCCTGGGACTTCCCAGTGAGCCCCACTCAGGAGAGGATGCTGTCAGGTTCCTTCCAGAGCTCTTTAGGTTAAATCTGTACCAGGCCATCTGGAAGGACAAGTGGCTGGTGTTCAGGTTGTAACTCAAGACTTTGCTCATAAGTTAAAGCTGAAATTCTGGTCATAACCCAAGTTGTTCATATGTCAGGTTCATAACTTGAGGGTCCACTGTGCTGAACCAGTGCAATGCTTACTGTAGCTTTCTGCACAGAACATCTTATACCCGGAGTGCCGACCCTCTAGCTTTGCTCTCTGAGAACACCTTGTTAATCTAGGTCCTTTGCACTTGCGAATGCATTTTACAGCCAGCTCACAAATTTCCAGGAGAAAGAAAAACTGCAGAGATTTTTAAAATTAGGATTAAATTGAATGTGTAAGTTAATTTAGGAAGAATTGACATAATAATTCTGAGTTTTTCTCAGACTACAGTGAATATTTTTCTCTATTCCATTAGGTTTTTAAAAATTTCTCTTAAAAATATTTTGTGGTTTTCAGTATAGTCATATTATACACTGCTGTGACATTTTGATGTTGTTATGAGGGATATTTAAAAGTTTTCATTTTCTGTTGGTTGCTTGGGAGTGAATAGAAATGTAGCTGATTTTTAAATATTCATCTTATATCCACAGTCTCTGCTAAATTCATTTCAATTTCCAACTTTGCATGTTCCTCTGGCTTTTACAATGCACATAATGGTGTTATCTCTGCAACTATTTTCAATAGTCCCTCTTATCCAGTTTTGCTTTCTGCAGTTTATTGAGCAACACAAAAATATTAAATGGGAAATTCCAAAAATAAGCTATGCATAGGTTTTAAACTGCACTCAGTCTGAGCAGTGTGGTGAAATCAGTGCCACTTGGCCTTGTCTGCCTGGCAGGTGACTTGTGCCAGGTAGACCAGCTGCCCGTCAGTTGCTTGGTCCCTGGTGTGGTCATCGGATCAACTGCAGTGTGGAGGGACCTCTGTGGGTCACCCCTGCCCAGGAGCTCAGAGTCCTGTCACAAGCGAGGCCTGCATCATTCACCTGCCCTCCCTCACCATGGAGGCACTGTTTTATCTCAGGCTTAAGAAAGGCGAATACAGACAAGAGGTCTTCAGAGAGAGAAAGAGAGAGAGAGCACATCCACATAACATTTGCTGTTGAATATTGTCATAAATGTTCTATCTTATTTTTGTTATTAATCTCCTACTGTGTTTAATTTATAAATTTAATTTTATCATGGGGGTGTAGAGGAAAAAGCAAAATATACACAGGGTTTGGTACTATCTGCAGTGATGGTTCATCTTGGGCGTCACCTTGATTGTCTAGACCAACTACACAGCCTGGTCTGCACTGGTCCTGCGGGACCGAGGGTCAGCCTTCCCCTGGCTCTGTCTCCCCTTCTGAGGAGTCCTCACCCTACAGTACAGGTCTCCCCAGGCGAGGGCTGTGTCCCCAGTGCTGGGGCTCAAAGTCTGCCCCACGACACGTGTGGTGAATACATGTTACATACGTGAATGAGGAGCCCAAACTCTGGCCCATCCCCTGAGCAGCACCCCGGATGACTGGCAGGCGAGTCTCCTCCAGTGACTGAACCTCGGCGGAATCCCCTGTCCAGGTTCCAGTGGAGCAGACTCTGCCCGCGTCTTGTTCTGTCTTCCGGATTTCAGTCCCATGCTGCCCCTATGGAATACACTCCCCAGCTGGCTCCGTTCTTCCGGGAACAGTGAGGAAGTTCTCACCCACAGCGTCAGGCGGCTGCAGTGCCAGGGCAGTGGCTCCCTGAACGGTCTCCAGGACCTGGTCCTGAATGCTCTCCTTAAAGACAGCACCTGGCGGAGCTCTATTTCAGAATGAATGTATCGGGCGAGCACTAGAATTCACGGCACACAGGTCACTGCCCCATGTACCCAGGGGCAGAGTGGCACCGAAATCACCTGTGTGGCCCCAACCCAGGGCCACTGAGGACTCTGCACAGAGCTCAGGGCGGCCCCAGGTCAACACCAGGAGCCCAGTCTGACCCCGGGGTCCCTGGGCTCATCTGACGGCCGGATCCTCAAACTGCCCTGTGAATCAGATACTCGAGGAAAGCTCGCTGCTGCTCCCAGGACCTCGCTGCCTCGCAGAAGGTAAAAGAGCGTATAGCACAGGCCTGTTCTGTGCCGGCGAGGACCCTATCAACCCGCTTCAGGGTTGCTATGCTGGCCCAGCTGAATCTCAGCCCGGCAGACCCTCTCCCCATTTGGCATTTCCCCTCATGCAGTTTTTCCACCTTGCTTCACAAACGGAAGCCACTTCAGCTTCCTGATTTTACTCACCATTTTTTGTGGGGTGGGGGTGGGGGGCGGTCAGGTAAGGAAACCTGAGCTAAATCAAGTGCTATTCCAACCCTCTAGCTACAACCCCACTGGCCATTTTCCACATCTGCTTGACAAAGGAAAGAAACCAGACAGAAGCGCTGGGGAGGTGAACACCACAGAGCCCGGCCTGAGAGTCTAGACCCAGGTCTTGTTCGGGTGGTCAGGCCTGCCCCAGATACACCCAACGTCAGCCTCACTGTGGCCATTTCCCAGCAGAGCCTAGTCTTCTAAATTTCTTGGGTGTCTTGAGATCTATAGTGGTTTCTGTTGATGACCTAGTTCCCTCTTCAAAAAAAAGGGCCAGTTCATGTAGATATATTAATTTCAATGCAATAGAAATAACTCAATACTTTTCCACATTCTTCCTGAAAGCAACATTTGAGAAAAGTATTGTGATAGAAACAAATATCTGCTTCCTGTGATCAGCTAAAAAAACGAAAGACTGGTGGCTGGGGATGCAGGGATAGTACTTGCCTAGCACGTGTGTGGCCGGGCGTGCTGTTCTCCGCACTGTAAACAAAAACAGGTAAACATGTAATTATTTTAGAAAATACAGGCTTTTGAAATCAGTAACGTTGCAGGTAAATGAATCAACAGAGATGTCTGTAAAGAACTCACCGGAGCAGCTCGTGCGAGTGTTGAGGTAGCACGGGGCAGCTGTCTTCCTCTGTAAAGAAAATACACGAAAGGTCCTGGATTACTTGGAGATTGGATATGTGGCTTTGTGTGCATGCTTCCCAAAGCCTCAATAAAATGGTAATAAAGGAATAAAAATAAGGTACAAAACCTCAAGGAGAGTGAAAGAAAGAAGACAAGAAAATTTTCCCAGATGGAAAGCAGATGTCGAGAGCGAGCTGTCCTAGCAGCTCCAGAGGTCTAAATCTCACTGCATGAGCGGAGCCCAGTGAAGAGCTGGCAGCCTCGCAGCTGAGAACCCACACCGGCTCAGGGACTGAGGCCACGCTGAGCGACAACAGGGCACCCCTGCCTAGGCAGGGGGGAAGCTGAGTCAGGGAGACTTGCACTGGAGGGAATGGGAGCGGGATGTGTAAGGGACAGAAAACAAAGAACCAACCAAGTAAATCACTGGACAGCAAGAATCCTGGCCCACTTTCCTGTCCAGCATGGTCTCTCTCTGTCCACAGACTGAGGGGTTTCTCTCAGGAGAAGTACTCAATGTTAACAGGGTGGTCAGGTTCTCACTGAATAACTTCACAGTGAAACAAAACCATCAAAAGGCCGGCCCAGCGTGAGAAGTCGTCACATCCGTCCTAGGAATGACGAAGCTCACCAGCCAGCAGCTCAACTAAACAAGGAGCAAAATAGGAGACAAAAATGCATTTCTGTAAAAACCTCCCTGAATATACAACAAAAAACAAAGAGTTGAATAGTAGAGATGAATAATGTACTTGATTTGGAGAACAGGAGAAAATTGATTTTAAAAATTAGAGGATCTGATCAGCAGCCCCAGGATCTAAAGTGCAGGAGAACTAGAAAAATTCAGGGGAAATAGAGGGGAAGGAAACCATACTGAGGAATTTCCCGGAACCGAAGAGAAGAGTTTGAGATTTTAATTTTCAGACGTTTGGCATGATGTGTGAGGGGAACACAACAACACTGAGACTGAAGCACACTACCGAGGAACTCTACATCACTGGAACTAAAGAGATGATTTTAAAAGCATGCAGAAAGAAAGAATGAATCACATGCAAAGAGCTGAGCACCCAAGGAACATTAGCCTTCTCAAATGCAGCATTAGGAACTAGAGGCAACAGTGTGTTCAGATTTCTGAAAAGATATCACATCCAAACTAAAAGTTAGCCAAACCATGAGTACAGGAGAGCAGAATGAATGCATCTCCAGGCCTGCAAAACAAGGACGATTCAGCTCATGGGTGCTGGGACACCCCGGAGATGAGGTCCCACAAACGCAGGAGTAAACAAACCTGGAAGAAACTGAGGCAGATAGAAGGGACATCCCACCTTAACTGTGTGACAAATGCCAACCGGGACAAAGAAGGGGACCAGTTGCCATGGGAACGGGGCAGGGAATGGACAGGTGAAAAGCTGGCCAAGATTCACAGCGTGGTCAGAAAGCTCAGGGCAAAACAGACGGTAGATTTACGAAATCCAAGGGATGTGCGATCAGGCCATGAGTGCAGGGCAGGAGCGATCGCCACCCACAGCCTGTGTGGTGTGACTGTTCGCAGCTGAGTCAACGCAGCCACAGTGTATCTACAAGGGTGAGGAGAGGAAAGGAGAGGTGATGATGTCAGCAGAGAGATAAATCTTTGTATTTCATAAGACGAAGCCTGTTGCTAATTCCTAAAACTGAAACACTAGGAGTGCAAGCTTAGAAAAGTGGTAAATGCCCCAAGAAACAGCTAAACATGCCCCACTCAGGGACAGGTACGGGCTTCCGAGGTCTGCTCCATTCACCTACTCCTGCCTTTGAAGCTACAAACACCTACTTCTTTGACAGAAACAGATACTTAACAAATTCAGTTAAAACTAGCAACTTAGAGACTTTGCTAAGAAGTCACTGGATTATCTGGTGCACTGAAATACAAATAAGAAATGGAGTGCATAACCCCAGCAAGCAGATCCCTGCTACATGAGGGTCCCAGTATTCAGGGTGCTGCAGGTGTCCCTAACACCCCCATAGTCTCGGTTCTGGGTAACCTTACTGAAGCACATGTGCTTTCACAATGCGCAAGGCCACTGGACCAGCTTTCTTTTCCCCTGACATCAGAAAGTGTATTTTCCCAGGAAGGGGTACGCTTAAGTCTAACCAACATATATGCTCCTTCTAAAAAGAAAAATGAAACAAAAAAAATAGAGACCTGAAATCCTACGAAATCCCCCTTGTTTTGTTTGCAAAGACAATTTTCTTCAAAACTGCTCGGTTTTGAAGAGTGAATTAATTGGGAGTTTGAACTGGAAGAGAATCAAATGCTTGTGACAACATTTTCCTAACCATAAGCAGAACAGAAAGTGTTCGCACAATTATCAGATTTTTAAAGAGCAAAAGTATGAATTAGTGTCATAATCTCCCTAACATTTCTACAATTCCCTTTATTTTAGTGGTGACGCCTCTGCTAGGTATTGTATTACAGTTTATTTAGTTAAGTATCTGAAACTTATTAAGACAATTTCCCTTTATTTTCCAAAAGCTATAGGAATATTCTTCTTGGCTAAGAAAAAAAGGATCTTACCTCAGGCTTAGCTACTGTTACTCAGCTTTCCTATTTTTATACTCCTAGATTTTCCTTCCACCAAATACTTTTTAAATTCTTTAAACCTTGTGTTTAAAATAGCCAAACAACCATGGTGAGCAGAAGATAGATATTACTTGGCCATATAAGGACACAGAAATCAGAACTCACCAGGGCAAAGTGCAAAGGGGAGTGGAGGGCTCACAGCTTGTACGAACCCCCTGCGACACATCAGACAGAAACAACTCTCAGTCTGCAAGGCAGGGGGCTGTTCGGCACCCTCACCTTCCAGACCTTCCCTCCTCCGAGCTTTCGCGGACTTCACGAGGTGAGAGTTGGAAGGTGCTCGAGAGGCCCCCTTGTCCAGCTCCTGATGCCAAGCGAGAAGCTCCTTTTTGTCCCCAGTACCGGGGACCGAACTCAGGACCTTTTGCTCTTGAGGCAGGCGTGGTGCCACTGAGCTAAATCCCTGGCCCTAGCAAGAAGCTCTTTGACCTCACGGGATCTGGCCTTGTCCGTTCTTTTAAGCAACTCGAACTGCTAGATGACTCTCTGGAGTTGGGCCAGGGGGGCCGAGGGGACTTTACCATTAAGGGTGCAGGAGCCCTGTGGAATTTGCTCTTAGGGAAGGTCAGGTTGGCACCAGCAGATGATACACAAACTGGCACCCTGCAAGTCACCAGAGTGGTGCCAGGCAGCCTGGGCTCGTGAGTGCGCTAAATGAGCGTGGCAGGGACCAGCTCCGACGAAAAGGTGGCCAGTGGGCCTGGGAAGGTCACTGGGCCACCACCAGCTGGGTTTGACCTCAGGGCTTGGCATGTTTTTGTCACAGCAAGCAACGACCTAGCTAGCTGGGCAGGTTGAGCAAACACAAAAGATGTTGGGAAGAGCATGTGGAATGCACATTCAATACCAGCTTAGGCTTGGGGAGACAAAGCTAATTCCGGGCAGATGATTATGGAGAAAAATCTTCAGAATATTGAAGATATATTCTGACATGAGACAGGGCCAAGCCCACCAATGTGGCCACAATCTAGAAGGCCTCATTCTACTGTAGTTTTCCAGTGTGACATTAAAAAATTCTTTTCTACAGGAAATCTCTTCAAATATTTGAAAACAGCGTTACCACCACCTTTGATCTTTTCTTCTCCTAGCTAAACATAGAGTTTCTTAGGCCACCGGAAACTTAATGCTTCAAACTAGCACATTAGTATTCCAGATGAGGGCCCACTGAAACAGAGCAGGGTAGAATTACCTAACGTGTGCTCAGTAGGGGGCACTTCCCATTACTACTTTAAGCAAATAATTCCCCAAGGACTTGTGCACAGAAATAAGTTCAGCTCTCCTGCCACTTGTCCACGCTGTACTTCTACACTGTAATTCTTCGAGCTGAAAGGAGTGGCTTGACGTCCCCCCGTTAAACTTGGAGGCCAGGGGATGTGGGAGGGACCAGGCGGAAGCCCTGGCTCTCTGTGGCCTTCAGCTCACTACAGCGCTCTTGGATTCCCCACTGGAGCAGAGGCAGTGAGGACCAGATGATGACACATACTGGAAAGGACCAAGGAAACCGAGAGAAACCAGGAGGTCAAATCCCGATCTAAGGGTTTTTTCCCACTCATTCCACTACCTTTTATCCAGCGCCTCTTATCAGACTGGGCACGCGGACGTGGGTCTCGCCTGTCTATAGTCAGGGTCTACAGAGGCTCCAACTGGCTGCTGCGTGTTCCTCTTTCACACAGTGAACTACTGTTCCCGTCATGTGTTGTCTAAGTGTGACCGGAATTCTTCACATGCTTTCTCTGTTAATATTTTAGGTACATACCCTAAGGCGGGACAGTTGCATTCTCTCAGACCCACTTCCGAGAGGCTATAAATAACTGATTCTGGCAGGGTGCAGCCTTTCACACACGCCCACGCGGGGGCGCACCAGCTAACGCGGAGTGCACGGCTCTCCCCGCCCGTCCTCGTCCCGACGCGCTGCAGCTGTCCGCTGAACCGGCCCGCGGAAATCATTCTCTTCTCCACCCGGCCCGGAAGGCGACAGGCGGACGCGTGTGCTCGGGCCTGGGCGTCCACGCACTCACCGCCCGCACTGCAGAGCGCGGTAAACGCCCCCGAGGGGCTCGCTGTGGGTTGGGGAGCCGGGGATTGGGGCGGCGTTTCTGGGAGGCAGCCTGGGAAGCCGAGAGCGGAGAGGAGGGGGCTCACGGTCCTTGTGGAGGCCAGAGAAAGGACCGACGTTACCTCAGGTTCCTTCCTCCCCCTTTCTGCAGGGAAAAGCTACTGCACCAACTCGTTTATTCCGACATTCCTCTGAAACCAGTTTAAAAAATTGCCATTCACCGGAATGTGACGTGATTTCCTTGTGGGATCTTTCGTTGTAACGTGGGTCCTGCAGGGCCTGTGAAAGGTCAAGTGACAGAGACACGGACGCAGAGCGGGGCCCCTGGCCCGGGGTGCAGCACGGAGTGCCAGCGGAGCTGCTCAGGCGCGCGGCAGAGTGCAGCGGCCCTGCCCTTCCGTGAGGGAACCAGCCTCGGCGTGCCAGCGGGTGTTCCAGGGACCCGGGAACCCGAGATGGACCTGGAGATGCTCGCAAAGATGCCTGATCAATGCGGCGGGGTTTGCACCAGGCCCAGAATCTCCGAGGCAGAGAAACCACTGACCTTGGCCACAGCTGCACAGACCCGGCCGATGGACCCAGGCCGTCCCAGGAGAGTGGGAGAAGAGAAGAGAAATGTGGGGAGAGAGGCACCAGAAGGGACAGGGGCTGGCCGGGGAGGTGCGGCCCCAGCTGACAGCAAGGTCGCCGTGTGCTGCCAGGGGAAGGCAGGGTGGGCAGGCAGGACTATGTCCCTCCGCCACCTGTGGGAAGCCCCTCAGGCTCTGCTACTGGAGAGGAACACAGGAGAAATGGGGACAGCCGAGTTCAGTCACCAAAAGGCCGCTGACAGGATACCGAGAGCATCAGAAAACCACTGGACAATGAAGCAGAGAGACCAGAGAGCTCCGCACGGCATTTCCATGAGGACTGTTAGAAGGGATACACAGGGAGAGAAGGTCCAGAAGAAACCATGAATACCTTGTTATTCAAAGGGGAAGTGGGCTGTATCAGTAACATTGAGGGTACCGCAGAGAAGTCTGGGAAATAGCCATGACAGATGTGAGAGTCACATGTCACACTGCGATGGGCAGATGAGTTCTCCTCGTCCTTCCATAGACCAAGCCATGCAAGGATACTGAGCCTAAAATCTTTGAAGGGCTTTAAAAAAGGATCCCACTGATTGGGTGACACAAAGTTACAATAGAGACATCTTAGCGCTATTTTATCACTGAAAATAGAAGCAGAAAGTATTCAGATATTCCCTTACAGAATTTATTTGCTAGATCATTTATCCACTATACATGTTTAATGCATATGCAATAATGGCCAAATAACAAGTAGGCAGTGCTTACTCTGTGACGGTCCCTGGAAAAGTCTTTGCAGTACTTTTCGGTACACAGATCTTTAGTCAGCATCTGGGCTGCTTCTAGGTTCACTGGATTTTCTGTCCCTGGGTTAGAAAGCATAACCTAAAGGAAAATGTAGACAACAGACCCAAGTGTTTAAAGTAATCATTTTCTTGTGTAGTAAAAGACAAAGCAATCCACACAACTCTTGATGAACATTTATTACATGTCTACAGTGTACAGACCTAGAGAGAGAAAGATGAGGTGGAATCTTCGCTTTCAAGACACTCTGGGCCCATCTGGTTTTTATGCTGTATATTCATGACCGAACACCCGAATCAAAACAAGTTAAAAGTTTTTTCCTGTATTATCCCTTCCTATCATATCAATTTAACTTGGATTATATGCAAAAAGAACTAAACGTTAGGGAACAATGACAGGTTCCCACTATATAGGTTAAAAAATAAAGCATTTTCACTCGACAGTACATTAGAGCACTGATAAACAAAGACATACTGCTGGGGATTTAGCTCAGTGGTTTCGCTGCCTGCTGCGCAAGCGCAAGGACCCGAGTTCGATCCTCAGTACCAAAAAACCCAAAAAAACAAAGACATACTGAGGGGCCCAGACAATGAATATCTGCAGGGGTTTCCTACTGCTACAGTAACTAGTCACCGTGCACTTAGCAGCTTCAATCAACACAAATGTATTATCTCACATATGGGTATGCAGATTCTGGGGCAGATGGCTGTGGTTGTGTTTGTCACCTGATGTGGAGTTTGTGAACAGAAGTAGGATTTTGCCAAATGCTTCTGTTTTCAAACCGTTTGTGAACTGTTTGTATTACTGTGTCCAGCACCCCAAAATGCAAATATTTATGCAATAATCCAGTATTTTCAACATCATAGTTATGTCATGAAAATTATGTAATATTGTTAAAACTACTACTGTATGTGTTACTACTGTGATACCTAAATATAGGTGCAGGTAAAGCGGAAAATTGTGGTAAGTTATGGAAATTATGTCACTAGTGAAAGCAATCGTCTGACTTCGGAAATCTCAAAAGCAACCAGGATTTTCTGGTGTTACTTGAGTTCTCCTGTGTGGAAGACACATTTAGACTATTTTCCCAAGAACGTTATAATTGCTTAAATTAAGGTTCAGCGCAGTTGCTCTAACTCTTTCCAAGTGGGTGAGGCGCAGATGAAACGTATCTTCAAGAGCAAGCGTTTGTTCTGTCTGGAGAGTGTCTCACAGACAGGCACATCCAGTAAGGGTTATTTTACTGTTTTCTCGTGAGCCACTGTGCCTATGACCTAGTCATAGAATGTGTGTACAAGCCAGTTCATGGATTTGATACTTTAAAGAATTGGTACACAAGTCTATTAAATTGTATAAATAAGTCATCTTGCTGAAATAATAAACATAAAAGGGTTCAACTTTTAAGTTAGCTATGTAGTAGTATAAAATACTAAAAAGCTCTTCAGAGGACAAACAGAAAAATCTGAAGCTTCAGTTAACAACCACACCAGTAGATATATTTTATAATACCTAATTAATTATGGCCTATAGATTTGGGATTCCTTCTGTGGATTTGTGTTGATGTGTACATTTGCATTCTATGTGAAATAACAGGTTTTCAAAGAAATTCTTAAAACCGTTTGGTAGAGAGGATGAAAATATTTTAAACAACTTTGTAAGTACCATCTTCTTGTAACAGTATGATGACCAGAAATGTGTCTCACTGACTGTTCAAAAGGAAGCAGTGGGGAATCACGCCCTGTACCTGAGTCATCCATCCCACGAGGCACTGGCCAAGGTGGTGATATCGATCTCTTAAACAAAGTGGACATTCCCAGACCTCAGTGGCAATGTGTGACTGACCAGTAGCTACTACACTGGACAGTGTGAGAGTGGACATTTCCTTCGGTACAGAACATCCTTCTGGGCAGCAGTGACCTCCAGAGAACTACTGAATAGCCACTGAGATACTGACTGTAGCCAAGTGGAAATTACTAGAGATAAAATGTTAAGTGTAATATATATATATATATATATATATATATATATATATACACACACACACACACACACACACACATATCTCCGCTGGAGCTATAGACCCAAACCCAGGCGAGTCTTAGAAGTTAAATAACATTCAGTCCAGTTCTCCATCAGACCGTCACCCATTTCCTGTAGTTTGTACATAGAGTTAGATATAGAGATAGATATTCATTAAAATTGCAACACAATAAAAATTCAGGTTTATTCATTCATTTACTTTTTTTAGTACCTACCAAATGTTGCATTGTCATGGGTAGGTGGTGGGAATTCAAAGATTAATTAGATCTGTTTCCTGACCTCAGGACCTGGTAGTCCAGCAGGAGATGGAAGACAAAGGGATGGATAGGTACACTGGAGTTTGAGCTGGATTAAAGCAAGCAATGTGTGCATGAGAATGCCTCAAGCCCAGATGTGAGACGCTGATCGTGAGCATGTGAGGACCTTGGACTTGATCCTGCAGCCAGTGAGGGAACGGATGCAGGATTTAAACAGACATCCAGGAGAAGAGGTCAGAGGGAATGCTAATAACAGTAGGGTGAGGGCTTTCTTCAAGGATTGTCAGTGATTTTCTTTTACATTCTGTAAAAATCATCTGTGAGTTGCACATATTTGTCTCATTCACATATTTGAAATACATAGAAAAACACAAACAACTGTGTGCATCGCCTCTTGGCTTTCCATGATATGTTTGGCAACATTTTGTGGTCGCTGTCACAGTGTTAATAGTAAAAACAACTGTAACCAATCAGAACTGTGGAGTTCTTTGCTTGCGGCACACCTAGATCTAAGTGCTCTGCGTCCGCTAACTAATGTCTTCCTCACCAGGCACACGAGACGACTGTTAATGACGGCCCCATCTCAGCACTAAAGAAGCCAGGTACTGAGAGGTGAAGAAACGCATCCAGTGGTACAAAGAAATCAAGTGGAGGGCCGGGGATTTAGCTCAGTGGTTTCACTGCCTGCTGCACAGCGCAAGGACCCGAGTTCGATCCCCGGTACCAAAAAAAACCAAACTATAAAACTCTGAAATCAAGTGGAAGAAACAGGATAGGAAGTCAAACAATCTACTCTTACAGACCCTGAGTTTTCCTTTTATTAAATTATTCTGTAATTCAAAAATTTTCACCAGGTCATTCTAGTTGGCTAGACCTCATTACATTTGTGGAACATCCAGTTTGACTATTTTTAGGGCAGACTCCAGTTCAGGTGGAATAGAGAGGAGTATTTCTCAGCTTGAAAGGATGCAAAAGATCCACCCCAGACACCTGCATATCATACTCGCTTCCTTAGGGTTTTTGCTCAAATGCCTCTCCTAGAATACAGATGGCTGCTCAACGCATGCTTGCGGAATGAATGAATGAAAGGCAAATTGGACACTGAATCTATGACAAAGATTTCATTTTATACTAAGATTCCAAGTATACTAAGAAGACAGGCCAGAAAATTAACTATTATGTCACTTATTTTAAAAAATAAGAAATAGGAAAAGTAGAATTTGTATTATAGATCTAAGTTGCAAAAATTCCGTTCAGTTAAAATACTTTATTCTGTCAGTCTTCAAGATAATCAAAATTGAATAGTTTATCTCCAGACATTATTAAGAGTAAGTAGGTCCCTGAGTAGACTATAAGTAAGCCTGACCTAAGTAGCCACGCAAATGCCACTAAACAAGTAATTTTCACCTCTGATTAGAAAGGCGGGCTTTTAAAGAGCTGGGAATACACAAGGCAGAGGGGCACTTCTGTGGACCCCGGGCTTTGGTAAAGGTGGTATCAGGGAAACAGGCATCCCTCCGAGGGGAGGAGATGAGCCCCGGTTGATATGAGCACTGTATTGATAGAACGCTCATAAGAGTAAAAGCAGTGGGGCATGGTAGCGCACACCTATAATCCCAGCACTCAGGAGGCTAAGGCAGGAGGATCACCACCAGTTTGCAACCAGCCTGAGCTACACAGTAAGATCACGGCCAGCCTGGAATACATAACAAGACGCTGTGTTGAAAAAATCCAGACCAAACCAAAACCCAAACCAAACAAAGACCAGAGGAGAAACGAGCCCTGAGAGGAACCCAGGGTAAAGCTGAATATGCGGAGATGCGGTCCCGTGGTTCACCTCTCCAAGGAAGGGCAGGGCCGCGAGTGAAGACAGACGTGAAAGGCCTGTGAGGTACGAGGGTGTGAAGTTAGAGCCGGGAGGAATTGGCACTGTATTTCTACAACAGAAACCACCCGAGCAATTATTTTCTTCTTTTATACAATACCCATATTCTTCGGCTGAGAAGGGCCTTGAGTATCAATTTCAATTTGAAGTAATTAGTCTTTATAATTTGAGATCTACTTTGTGGTCTTGATAGAGAAATGCTGATTGACAGAAGCTTGCTCAAGTCCCTAAAATATTTAACTATGCACTGTACATTCTGACCCTTGTGATTGAAATAACTGGGATCATCAAAAATATTACAGAAAGCACTATAATAAATCAGTTCCTACCTGCAGGGTGAGTAGGATGCTGCTCAATGTATACCCTGAATTCCATTTAACAGGGTTGTTCAAAAAATCGATACAGGGCTCACCAGTATCTGGGTCTACTGCAATTGAAATAATATATTACTATGGACATATATGATAAAATTATTATTGAAAACTTATAAACATCACAATGATAATCCAGAAAAGCTGTTTTCATCCACTTTTCCTTCTTCTCTTTCTTCTCTCTGGAATGAGAAGCACTACGCTGCTCTTGCTGATTACACACGTGTCCACACTGGTTTTCCTGGCCAGCTGTCCAGCAAGATGGGATCATGTGACTGAGTTTTCATCATGGAACAGAAGAGCCCAATTTCTAAATGTGAAGATGTTTTGCCTTTTTTCTGTCTCTCTAGACCCCTTCCTACTGACAGGAAACGGGGGCAGAATATAAATACCTCAGAGCCAGAATGAGAACACATATTTGAGAATAGGGCAGACCCTCCATCCAGCCCTGGTCTGTCATGTATGTGAGAAGGGTATACAAAAGCTTGCCTTATATCCCAACACAGCTAATCAACCAATTCAGTATTTGAAAATGAAGAGAGAATTAAATATGGGAAATAAAACTATAGAATAACTAGAAGAAAATTCAAATGACTACTTGATTTTGCTTATGGAAAAGCTCTTTTTTTTTGGTATCGAACTCAGGACCCTGCGCTTGCAAGGCAGGAGCCAGAACCACTGAGCTAAATCCCTGGCCCTGGAAAAGCTCTTTAAGCTTAAAAACAATTGCAGAACCTCTGAGGATAAGATTAAGATTCGACTACATAAAAATTTTAAATCCTAGATGTAAAAATTCCAGCATAAACAAAATTTAAAATTTAAAATAAACAAATTGTACCATCTAGGACAATGTGGTAACATTGTCGATTATGTCAGGTGATCCCAAATTAAATCAAACATTTAAAATGTTTACTTCACAAGTATTCAAAGAAGTGCTTATTAAAATAATAGCAAGATTTGTATAAAATAGCCCCAAAAGATTTCCTAAGTTTTTATGCCCAATATTGGAAATCTCTAAAAAGAGAACTTTACACATACTTTCTGGTATGGAAGAAAATACCACTGAAAGGCAATTTGGCTTTCCATACATGAACACTTAAAACTTTCTGTGGCCGGGCTGGGGATTTAGCTCAGTGGTGCCGCCGCCTGCCTTGCAAGCGCAAGGTCCTGAGTTCGATCCCTGGTACCAAAAAACCAAAACCTTTCTGTGAGCATCCTTTGGGGTCTGGGTGCTCATAAATAACCACCTTCACCTCTCATGTGAAACAGAACAAGGTGTTGAAAGGTAGAAGTTAAAACATCAGCTTTACAGTACAGAAGACTGCAGCGGCAGACACACTTGATCAGCGGCTGTGACTGGCTTCACAAAAGCCTCCCTCATCTGAACGCACCCAGCTGAAGGCCGGCCTCAGCTTCCTGCTTGGAGAAATAGAGACTGCACCCTTCTTCAATCAAGGTGGGGTGGAGACTGCAGAGAAAGCGCTGTGGGCCTGTGCTCATCCCCACCACCTGTCCCCAGTCAGAGGTGTCACCTCTCCCGGGAGGAGGCAGAGGGAGAAGAGCAGTGACAAGTTCTCCTGCAGTCTCCCTTCCGGAGACCCAAATTCCTTCTGTTCTATGGAAACGGGAGGTCGCGGGCTAGGGGACAAGATGGCCCCCCCAGTAAGCTTAGTCCGGAAATGTCCTCAGTGTTTTAAACAAAGGTGGCACATGCACAGACTTTGTGTTATATGTTTCAAAAATAAGTTTTAATTACACAGATAATAACAGACTTGGGGGAAAAGTACATAAGGGAATATAAAGTAAAATATGTATGTTCCTCTATCTACTAGTTACACGCTGCAGTTTTACAGTGGCCTATACCAACACACACACACGTGGAAACATCCATGTGCACACATGTGTGTATTAAATGGAACTGTACTTTACATTTTGTTGCTCGAAGTACTTTTCCTTAACAGTGAATTGTCAACTTATTTCCAGATACAAATATTTATTCAGGATATATCTGAACACCTATGAAGGGCCCAGCATTGAAGACTCTAGGGATATGGAAATAAACCAAAACGTGCAGCCTTCATAGATTTCCCTTGATGTCTTTAGGGGCAATATGTACAATGGAGGATATTTCACTTAAAATTCCCTATACTAATTGAGGTGGCTATAGGTCTTCCACATCTGCAGGCTTTCCATCTGTGGATTCCACTAACTGGGTTGAAAATATTCAGAAAAAACGGCATCCGCTCTGAACATGCACAGGTTCCCCCCTCGGCATTGTTCTGTAAGCAACGGTCCATCAACTGCTTAGATAGCATTTGCACTGTATTAGGTATTATGTGGAATCTAGAGATGATTTAAAATATGTGAGTGAATGCTCATAGCTTATACACAAATGCTGGACCATTTTATCTAAAAGCCTGAGACATCTTTGGATTGTGCTATCCAATGGCTGATCCCCGAACAAATTCCTCACAGATACCAAATAACAACTGTATTTCTAGTTTCCATATTTCCAATGTTGCCACTGGGAATTAGAACTTTAAATATAATATACACTTATGCTAGTATGTCGAAAGACTAATTTATAAACATAGTATTACAGAGATTTAAGAGCCAATGCATTTTATATTTGATTAGAAACCATCAAACTCTTTTCCCGAAAGGTTACCCTTATGTCAGGGATAATGTCTCTGCATCCCTACTCAAATTGAATGCTATGATCTTTTAACATTGTGCAAACATAAGTGATGAATAACAGTATTTTTTAAAATTTCCAACACTTTTATTACTAATGAGATTGAACATCTTTTTATGTTTTTGTTATATTTCTTCTAGCCAGTGTTGGTCCATTTTTCTATTGCCTTATATTTTTTTCTTAATGGTCCAGAAGTGTGTTTTATATGGTATAGATGGTCTGTTGTATCCATTGTACATATTTTCCTTATATACAAAAGTCAGCATCTTTTACCTCTGTTTATAATGTCCTTGGCTACAGAGATTTTAAAAACTCACCATACTATAAAAACCCTACTAGACTGTTTTCTTCCTGTCATTTAACATTTTTTGATTTCTAATTCTTCAGTAATTTACTTTATGTATAACTTGGACAGCAATCTAACTGACTTTTTTCAAAAAAGGTTATCTATCCAGTGTATCATTTTTTATAGTACAAAAAATTTGATCCAACTAAAAATACTGAATGATACAGGAATGATTA